GGGATACGCCCAGAGTCACGGAACGGATTAAGTTCGTATCCCGAGGTACCACTGTATTCATTGACAAGCACACATTCTCCCCATGAACAGAATACTGTAATGGAGTGTTTAGTGAACTTGGAAGGAGGAAATGGGTTCAGATTCTTGCACTCCCATGAAAGTCACTAGGTCATATATCATGTTATGCACATTTTTTTTTTAAAAAAATGGTTGTTGAATAAGCTCTAATGGCCTGTTCCATGCATCAAACTAAGCCAAGCATAGTGTCATATTTGAAATAGCCAGGATCTCATAGACTAGATATAAGAGCATCACATAATTCTTGTAAGGGGAAGAGGAAAGCATATATGATACTTTGTGCTACTTAGTGCGATAAAAGAAAATTGGAATTAATCTTATTATAGTGTTTTAAAATAAGAATGATAAGGACTACAGACATGCTTTAAAAGCCATTGGAAGCACAAAGAAAACCTATTTTGCTTTGCCTGCACATCTGGCTACTGGAGAGAAATCACAAGAAATCCTGCTTGGCTATTTTGTAATCCCTGTGCAATAAACCTGTTGGTGTAACTAGCCTCCCAAAGGACAATAAATGACCAAAATGTTGGGATGCAAATAGGACCCACAAACAGTAAAGTAAGCGTGCAAAGGCAGCGGTGACTTGCTTTGGCCATGATGTCCACCCACAATTCAAAATAGGAAGATTCTGGCTATCTAGGATAGCTAACTAGATTTCTAGTTTGCAGGAGGGATTTCTCTTGGTCTGGAAAGCAAAATGATCCTCCAGAAAAAAAAAAATTAGAACATTGATTCACTCTTTTCTCTAGACTGCAAGGATGTTTAATGAGAATGGTAGGCCAAGTGTTACTCCACGGACACATCATTTGAATGTTAAACATTTCAGGCAAGATGATCCATGCAAACACTCAAAGAATGAGAAGGTACGCTTCCAGCAGTATCAAGAGCAGATAAAGATGCTTATAATTTTCTTTTCTTTTTTTCTTTTCCTTTGGGATCAGGCTGGTTCTGAGTGCTGCGTCTGATTATTTTGCTGCGATGTTCACCAACGATGTCCGTGAAGCAAAGCAAGAGGAAATCAAAATGGAAGGTGTGGATCCTGGCGCATTGAAAGACCTTGTGCTCTATGCCTACACTGGTAAGCTTCCATACGCAGTCTCTCCACCTGTCCTTGCTTAGAAGGCTGCTGAGCCAAACATCTCTCTGCATTTTTCCCATCACCCCCCAACCCTTCTCAGTTGATCTGTTGGTGCAAAAACTATTTTTATAGTTAAAAAATAATATTTTGATGAAATTCTCTTGGGTGGAAAGCAGGGTTCTTATGAATTACAAGGAGGATGTATGTTCTATCTTGCATTGTGCAATCACTCCCTTAGCAACCTTCTTGAGTAGGCATGTTTTAATGAAGAGCCTTGCCATGCTTCATCTAGCTGGGTTCACAAACCACCTCCACTTGACGAGAAACCCAAACTGCTTGTATTCTGTGTTGCTTTTGCTGCTGCAGTTTCAGTTTGTATGCTAGGAGACTATGTGGCAGGGAATCAGCTCTCCAATTAAAACAAAAAATAAAGTCACATTCTTCCCAAAGTGAAGGACCCACTGCTCCTTTCAGAGCAACCAGAATTTGTAGCTGCTTTCAACAAGCTGCTGCCTGATTGCAAGCAGTCACATGAGAGTACTGGACAGTGGATCTGTATGGGTATATGTGACACTCTGGCATATAATAGTCCTTGAAATCTCCTCAGAAAACCTCCTGGGAAAATACTTCCAATGGGTTTTTTTCAGAGGGGAAAATGTGGGCAGCTGGCGTGAGAATTAATTTTCACACAGTCTGAAGAAAACAACCTGATATTATATCTGGCTGTTTCCAAAACAACAATTATATGATAAAGAGAGAGAGAGAAAGAGAGAGAGAGAGCGCCATCCAGCCCGTTACGAAGTTTGTGCAAGAGCAAGAAGCATAAGAATCACTATAAATATGGCTCACTTTTGATACACAGCAGTCACTGAAATTCTTTCATAATGGCTTCTTAGCTTTTCTACAGTAACATTCCTTATCAGAAGTTTCTGGATTTCTATGTCCTGCTTTCACTGACTCCAGTTAGTCCTCAAGGAACAGCCTGACTGCCAAGGAGGTTCTGAGTGCAGTACAACACCAGCTCCTTCTGTCAGTCTGCAACAAGAAAACAAGCTCAAAAACAATACCCAAGAAATTCTGACACAGCTTAGCTTTTGCCAATCTGCCAGGTGAGCCAGGTGCACATTCAGTAAATATCTGATATACAGTGGAA